ATTATCTTTGTTAAAATTCGTTAGATTTAAATTAAAATCTCCAAGTAAGTAAATTTTTTTTTTCCAGTTTGAATAAATATTTTCTTTAAGTGGTTTTCAAATTGTTTATAATTGCCGTTTGGTGGTCGATATACAGCTGTTACAAACGCATTTTTTTCTTTGAGATTAACTTTCTCTATTGATAACGATTCGCAATGTGAGTCGTTAACTTTTAAGTTATCGATTATTTTGTACGTAAAGGAATTGTGTATAAATATGCATATGCCACCACCAATACCATTTTCCCTTGGTTTGTGAATAGAATTATAATCTGATAATTGAAAATTAGAATTAAATATATCTTCTTTTTGACACCAAGTTTCAGTAAGGCAGATGACACTAAATTTAAAAAATATGTTATTTAGCATCAGTTTTAAGTTATCAAAGTTTTTGTTTATGCTTCTAATGTTAATACTTAGTAATGACATGTTAGATGATGAAGTCTTAAAAAAACTTGTAACTTCGTGGACATTGAAGTGATTTGTTTCGATGCAAATATTGTCGAAGAAGTTTGTGTCAGAAATAATGTTGTTAGTAGAATGTTGTGAGTTATCGCTTAAAGAAATATTTAAACTGTTTATATTATTTGTTACCGCCATTTAAAAAATATTATTATAATTTCTTTTTTTAAAAAATTCCACATAAAAAGTTTTATAGAAAGAAAGATATTCGAACGTTTAAGGGAAAAAAAATATATATATATAAATAAGTTTCAATTGCGAACGCTGTTTAAGTATTTTCCCGCATTTTTTAAATTAATAGTTTTGTCATACCTCACTGCAAGGTTTTCTCCCTTTCGGCGTCTTTCTTTAACTTGTGCAAATAATTTTTTTCTGATATCAACTGTTTCTTTAGAGAAATCTTCATTAATATAAATATTTAATCCTTTGAGTCTGTTTGTTTGTTTTAGTATTTTCATTTTATCCTTGTAACTTTGCAATTTCAATTCGATCATCTTTTCTGAATCCAGTACGATGCGCACGCTCTATTTCGATTCCAGATAAGCCTAGTTTTTGCGCTAGAAATAATTGAACTTGTTTTTCCGTTTGTGGCCAAGTTTCATGAAGACTTTCAGGTGGCCCGTCTATCCTTAGGTTATTTCTTCTAGTACGATCTTCAATATTTCTTTGTTGGTTTTTTAAAATTTTTAAACAATCAATTTCTTTTTCAAAACTTTTGTGACAAGCCTCGACTTTTTGGTCGATAAGATTTTCTTAAAAATTTAAATTTTCTTTAATATCAGCAACATCATTTTCAAGAATTTTTATTTTACCTATGTTAACATTTAGAAGGTTTTCAAATCGATCAAGTCGGTCGCTGATTATCTTTGTATTTCCACTAATAATATCTAACACGTTTTTTTCTTGATGTTTTAGTAACGCTTCAGTTTGATTTTGCATTTCTTTCTTGAATTCAATAAACATTTCTTTCATCACTTTTTTTATTTCAGATAATGTAATTGCCATAACTAATTAAAAAGTAATTAATAATAAACCAACAATAAATACTTATGATATTTTTGTGAGAAACTTTTTTTTTTTGGTTTATACAATTTGTTAAATGTATTTTTCGTTATACTCAACTCTATTAGAAATAATTGGCTGTAAAATTAAATTAGGTCTAACGTTAAAGTGAGGAGAATTGGCACAGTTGGCACATTAATTTGAAATATATTCATAATTTAAACGTGTAAAGTGTATACATTTTTGTGAGCACTTTAATCTTTATTTTTTTGTTTGGAGTAAGTTTTTGTAGTTATAACTGAAAATATGATTTAAGTTAAAAGTTTAATAACTTGTTTTCTATACCTTTTACTTTAATTTATTTTTTTTGCAGAGCAAGTATTTATATTTTTAAATGGTTCTCGGAATTTTTTTTTGGGGTTTGGGGGATTGAATGTTGACGTAGTTTTTTAAAGGGGTCTCCGAAAGTTTGACAAGTTGTTGACAAGGGGGAAGGAAGGCAAAAATTGCCAGAAATTTGTTGACATAATTAATGGGCAGCCCCTAATAATGAGCAAAATGGTCACTCGCTCCCTCTGCCCACACCCACTTTTTTTTTTTTTTTAGATCTTAATTGGCAAAAAAAAAAAATTATAGTTTATTGTCGGCAAAAAAAAAAGGATACCCTCTTTCTTTAAGATATCTTCGGGACGGGTCTGAGTATATTTATTAAGTGTTTCGAAATTTAAAACTAATCTTTGTTTTATAAATTGCAGAGATACTTCGAAAACAAAATAACTTTTTTTTTCTATATAAATACTTAATCTATCCGCGTGTTTTCCATAATCTTCTTACTTCCTGCTTTAAATTAAAATACGCTTTTGAACCCATAACTTTTTCATACAAGCTTAAAATTTTAAATTAATTTTTCTTTAAAATTGAGACTTCTTTAAAGAATTTTAATGAATTTATCGTATTAATCTAATTACTTAATGACCACAGTTTGTTAAGCTAAAAAAAATCCAAATTAAGAATTTTAAACAAAGGTGGAGAGTCATAAAAAAAGTTCATTCATTTAAATTGCAATCGGTTAAAGAAAATATAAGTTTCAAATCCCGAAAGTTTCAAAATACAAATTATCCTGCAACTTTTCATTTACATTATAGATAATGAAGTCCTATTCGATTTATTAAATCAAAAAGAAATGAGAAATAATAATGTGAATTGTAAAATGCAGGCTGTTTTATCCCTAAAAATTAGAAGAAAATAGTCAAATCGGTCGGCATTATTTACTATTGATATCATATGATAAATTGGCAATCGTTAAAATTAAGAGTTAATTCATTAAAGAAAATTTATTAATTTTAGCTATTGACGTGAAAAGATATTTTATATTGCGAAACATATATAAACATAAATTGCAACTTATGTATATATATATATATATATAATATATATATATATATATATATATATATATATATATATATATATATATATATATATATATATATATATATACATATATATATATATATGTATATACATATATATATATATATATATATATATATATATATATATATATATATATATATATATATATATATATATATATATATATATATATATATATATATATATATATATATATATATATATATACACATTATTCTGCACAAATTAATTACTGTTAGCTACTTTGTATATAGATATAGCAGTATTTGTCTGCTATATAGATTAAAAAAACATTTGATTACATCTTGTTACATGTATAAAAATTTGAGAATTTGTTTGCAACTTGGTTAATTGCCACCAAATTTTCTGTGTTTCGGATGAAACAGCAGCATTTTTCAAAATATTAAAATTTAAAAATTTCTAAAGTCAAAACCAAAACGTTGTCTTGATTTTAGTTTCAGAAATAATATCTAGAACTAAAGACTGTCTTTAGTTTTAGTAATTATTGTGCAAAATCAATTTTGAATTTTATTCAATTCTACTTTCTACAAAAAAAAATATTTATTTCCTATTTGCAATATTACTTATCGTTGTTAATCTAAATAAATTTTTACCTATTTTTATTATTTTATTTTTACGATTGTTTATTTATTGTTTTACTAGAATTTTATTTTGAAGTTTTCCTCAATATTGCAATAACAAATGCACTAAAGGATTTTTTTTAGATATTGCAGTGTTACACCTATGTCAATGACAATTTGATAGGTCGCAGGATATCTGAATATGATATTCACTTTTGTAGCACTAACTTTTTGTCATAAACTTTTATTATTTTTATGTATGCAGTTGAAAAAGTGTAGTTTACATTATTCATTTTGGATCAGCTGAACTTTAAACATTTGAATAAACAAGAATCAAGCTAGATATGTTTTGAAGCACCTTCAGAAAAATATGATTTACTGTTTTTATTAAAGTTGCGTTTCCACTAAAAATAGTTCTGTGGTCTGTGCTGGAGTAATATCAGGATTTTTAATGCAATTTTAGAAATATATGTAAAAAATAATGCATTAAAAAAGCAGGTGCATTGTCTTATTGAATTTGATAAAAAATGGTTAAGTATTAGATGAAAACAGTTAAACTTTTTGTAGTAGTCATGTTTTTTTGTTTTTTGTTTTAATTTTAAAAATCACTACTATGCATAGTAGTATAAAAGTTTTATTTTGTTTTGTTGTTAATTATAATTGTTAAATAGTTTATAGAGTAATAAAGGGGTTAATTATTTTTATTTAGAGATTTAAAAACTGTGACGGTAATCACATGTTTTTGTAACTTAATTAAAAGAAAACAATTACAGAGCAAGCTTTTATATACACACGCATATATGTATATATATATATATATATATATATATATATATATATATATATATATATATATATATGTATATATATATATATATGTATATATATATATATATATATATATATATATATATATATATATATATATATATGTATATATATGTTTATATATATATATATATATATATATATATATATATATATATATATATGTTTATATGTATATATATATATGTTTATATATATATATATATATGTTTATATATATATGTTTATATATATATATATATATATATATATATATATATATATATATATATATATACATATATAAACATATAAACATATATATATATATATATATATATATATATATATATATATATATATATATATATATATATATATATATATATATATATATATATATATATATATATATATATATATATTTGGGTATCCACAATGTGCATATTTTGCTTACTCAAAGTTTAAAATTGGTTTTACAGACAAACAAGCAAAAGAAGAGTGTTAATAGATAAAAAAAAAATTGTTTTTTTATTAAATTTCTTTCATAGATAGATGGATAGTCCTTACACATACTACTTAGTGCACTCTATCTCTTACGTAATTTAGAGAGAGAGAGAGAGAGAGAGAGAGAGAGTGTACTAAGCTTTGTTGGAAAATCAAGTAAAAAAATTTTATATTTAATAAATATCATTACTCTAGGGCTGAAAAATAAAATGCTACTTGCTTTACAATTATCTGAAAGGCTTAATAATAATGTTTAGTTATGGAAGTTTTTGTTTTGATGTCAACTCTCCTTGTTTTTTTTCCAAGTTCAAGTAAGTAAGCGTAATTATATAAAATATTGTAATTTTTATAATAACTGTTTGCTGAATAACAAATTATGTTAATAACACATTTCATAATTTTTTTTAGCATGTTTATGTTCAATACCTCTGTCCTCTGTTGTGACTGCTAACTTGCAAAGTGCAACTTCAATTAAAGATGTATATTTTAATATTGCAAACGTTATCCAAACAAATAAAGTTTTTTGTGCAAAAGTGGGAAAGGATTTCTCAATACAGGTAAATTTTAATATTCTTTAAACGGAACCTACAAATGCAGAAAATAGAAAAACATTGAAGTAGTGGTTGTAATTTGACTTTTTTTGTCAAAAGAGCAAGTTTAATTAAAAGCATTAATATAGTTTTAAAAATAGAAATAATCACTGTGTGCTAGAATTGGATTAAAGTTCAATTTAAACTTTCAACAAATGAATATTTGATAGAAATCTATTTATCTTTTTATTACAAATTTAATTACAAAAAATGATGTCAAAACAAGAAAATAATTGACAAAGAATATGAGTTTTCAGAATGTGAGGAAAAATGTGTGCATTCTTGTTTCATTTTAGCTGATGGCACAATTGATGGCAATGTAATTTTTTTACTGAAGCAATGTTGAACAAACTCCTACTAAGGTAATATATAGGAAAACTGCAAAAATTAACCAAAAAAATGTTTGTCTGGTTGGGCATGAATTGATGAAGAGGACTCAAAAATTTATTTTGTCTCCAGCAGTTTTGCATGTAACCAAAATCTTTACTTAGAGACATTGCATCAGGAGATGGCTAATACCTTTTTTCAAAGAATGATGATGACCATACTTGTTTTGGCCTGAACTGAATCCATTGCATTATGCTAAAACCCTGATGTTATTTTTTGAAAAATACTCTATAATTAATGTGGCCAGAGTGAATAATCTGTATTATATCTTATTTGAGAATTTTTAAAGTATTTCAAAAGAAATGTTCTATACAAAAAAAACTGGCATGCAAAAAATCTGAAACAACTTGGTATTAAGAAAAAAAGATGACTCAAGAAAGTTGACGAGAACTTGCAAAAGACCTTGCCATTTTAACTTGACCTAAATTTAAATATCAAAACCAAAATTAATAGACAGATATAGAAAATTTAATTTTGAAATTAATAAAGAATACTCCATATAAATACATTTCTTTTTAAATTGTAGCTTAAAAACTTAGGGAGTAATTGTAGTTTTTAATTTTTATTTTATTGAAATCCTGTTATGGGAATTAAAGATTCTGCCACAAAAATTAGTTAAATTTCTTTTATAGAATACATAATATTCTTTGAAAAAAATTGCATTAGTTGTAAATATATTTTAATGATCTGTAATCTGAATGAAAAATAAATTTACTTCTGAAGAGAAATTTGGTCCAGAGAGACAACTTTTTTTCATGCAAAACAATGGTCAGCTCTATTGGCTAGGAGCATGGTGTCTCAATAAAAAAATTGACCAATAAAAGTTGAGTTTTATTCAAAAAGATGCTTTGATATTCCCAGTTAACTTATCTAATTAGTCAAGTAGTATGGAATTGCTTTATTATGATCATAGTATAAAAATTGCTTCTTTATTCAAAAATAAGAAATTTAACTAAGAAGCTTAGTTAAAAAGTTTATTAATTAAAGGTTTTTATTTTTAAGGTTTTAAAGAACATTTTGGCTTTTTAGTTTGACTTTTCAAATATCAAAACTATCACAAGATTAGACATCAAGGGATTTGAACTCAATAAAACAATGATGATGCTACACAGTTTCACACTTCATTTTAGTATTGATAAAAAAAATTGGTTTGATTATTCTGTTGAATCGGATAAAGTAAAAGTAAGTGAAGCCAACTATTTTTTTCAACTATTTTTTAAATTTTATTTAAAAAAAAAAATATTCAATTTAAAGTTTACTAATTGATGTTTTTATTAATTACTAAACAGGTCCCTGAACCATGAGTTCAGTAGGGTAGGGTGGGGCATTGTGGGCCTATGGGAAAATGTGAATTTTACTAATGTATATCAGTTTTTGAGATAAATTTATTTGCTTAATCAGCTTACTAGGTAAACTCTTGACTATATTTTTATTTAAAAATGGTGCATACATTTAAACAGATAAAAATCTTAAACTTTGAAAAAAAGCTGTGGCATATAGAAAATGGTTTGTCTGGTAAAAATATTTATTGATAATTAGGTCAAGGTAGTTAGAAATTAAAAACATGCAAAATTATTAATGGGTTAATCTATTGAGCAATCAATCTATTGAACAATCAATCTATTGAACTATCAATCTATTGAACAATCAATCTATTGAACAATCAATCTATTAAAACCTAAAAAAACC